ATTCGCCAAGGTGGAGATTTGTTATGGTATGGCTCATATACCATTTAGGGACAGATGCTGGAACGAAGCGGAGCGGAGCGGAGCGAAAGAATCTGTCCAAATTGGGAAGTTACGTTACATGGGTTGGGGCTATACGGTACAGGGGTAATTTGGGAATTACATATTGTACTGTAGGGTTTACTCTAGGATTATAAATAGGCCTATTTGTAATCCTAGGTCTTTGAGAGAGAGTTGAATTTTGTATTCTGTATTCTTTTCTGAATATTGAAAAGGAGGTCGCCGCTCTGCTCCCGAGGACGTAGGCATCTTTGCCGAACCTCGTTAAATCTCTGTGTTCTTCTGGATTTGTTTCATTCCTAGTTTTCTTCGCCCTAATTTTCTCAACAATAAATAATATGTCAGCACATATCATAAAAAGATTCAACGGTCCAGAAGAGAGAGAAAGTAAATAGGGTTCGCCGACAATATATCAGGAGACCAGCTTATTAAATCAGACGTAATCGTCTGAGCCAAAGCCTAAGGCCGACCGAGCCATGAGAAGGACAAAAAAGAAAGATTGAACAATCTGAATCTGAGCTAATCAGACTAAAGAAAGACATAAAAACATTCAAACTAGCAAATACAAGAAAGTCAAGAGAAGGCTTCGATCCACCTTCATGCAAATCCAATTCAAGGAAAGAATCTAGTTCCTCAATATTAGCAGTCATCCTACGAATGCCCCCCAAGGCTTTTCATTAGAGATTAAAAATTGGTAATTCAATGGAATCTTATAGCAATCCCATAGGTTCTCTTAATTGAGGAATGAGTTATCTATCGCGTTACAGCGATCCACTATCTGCTTTGCAAAACAGGAGCTCATTGTTCAAAGCTCGAGGGTCGACAACAAAACTAAATCAACGAATCGTAAAAGCCCAACCAATCAAATAAATCTTGCTGATCTGAAGCAAATCAAACCAGCCGATCGATAAAGCCGGCCCAGCCCAATAGATCGGTTCAACCTTACCGTCACGAAGTCATCCTAGCCCAGCCGGTCGAGCCAAAGAACAGTCTAGTGACAAACTCATATATGTAAATTCTCTCAAAATATCTTGTACATCCCCATCAAAGTAAGGGAACAAATATAACTTCACTATACTGTAACATCTCCCATATAAATAAGAAGATTATTTTATGAATAAGACACGATAGACAATACGACTTAGTACTCTACACTCCCCCCCTTAGGATGTGATTCACAAACAAATCAGAGTTCAACATATATAATCTTAAGAAGATAACCTTTACCTAGTTTTAATTATTCGAGCAATGATAATTTTATTCTCACAGCCGGGCCTTTTGCCCGCAAGATCAATAGGGTGCAGTAAGGTTCATGTTAAAAAACTCATCAATGTTAATATAATTCATCTCTAATGTGTAGTATAATGTATTTTTTATAATGATATGGTTCAGGGTGTAAATTAGCCAATCATGAGCGGGCTAAGGCTTGTTCGTGTTTGTTCGAATTGGCTTGTGTCCGGATCAATTTGCCAAGCTAAATATCAAAATTAATTAGAATTTGTAGGATTTAGGTTTGACACATGCACTCTTCTTTTGTAATAGAAAATATCTAATCATTCAAACACATGATCTATAATGATTTAATCTTATACATACATATATATTATATTATTATATGAATTATATATATATCTTATTTCAAGCTGAAACGAGCCGAACACAATCAAACAGAGAGTTGTTCGTGTTCAACTAGTTTATAATTTGTGCTTCAACATTTTGTTTGTGTTCACCTCACTTACTTAACGAACAATTCGAACACGAGTTACTTAACAAATGCAACAAAAAATGTTCACCAACAACAAGCTTGTTTAACACCCACATGATATAGCTGAATATTAGATGAATAAACTTATTTTATGAGTACTTAACCTACATACCACCCAATTCCCGGGTATTTTACATATCTAACACCTAAATTTACCTAAATCCTTCATATCACATAGAAACTATTCCTACTTTAACTTCACATATGTAAAAATTAAAGTTCATGTGCTTGGTATGTAAATGCATTGGACCGGGTCTGATGGGCAAGGATGCGAACCGCACCAAGCCGACAAAATCCCCTAATTTAAGGGAAGCTTTGGTTTTGTAAGGAATAACCATGATACATCCTCTTGCAACAAGGACTGCCGCTTCATATAGGAATCCTAATTGGAAAATTAATCATCATGAATAATAGGATGTCATCTTAATCCTTAAATCTAAATTAATATATTTTGAATATTCCAAAAGTGGCGCATTTCATGCCTCTCATAATTGATCATCATGTGTGATCATAACAATAATAACATAAAATAGAAGAACATTCTCATAAAATTTAGTTACAAATATCTCAAATATATATATATATATTGTTGGGAAACATATCAAAGAGTTAAATTATTTTATGAGGGTACACAATGGAGCTTTGATTTTGAAGATCAAGTGTACATTATCATGCTAATTTCTTAGTGTACTCACATTTATTATCAAGAACTTAAGATATAGTTGGTTAATCATATCTAATTCATCTACATTGTTTTTATTTGATGGAGAATTGGATAACGCGCCTTTAAATTAATTATTAAGAGTAGGGATGTTTTGTATCTAACAATCAAGTGTTGACTTAATATAGTTTTGAATCAGAGGAGCTTATTTTTAATTTTTTTTTGTTTATAGCTTTAACATAAATTATTTTAGTTTAGAAGAAGCTTTTATGAAATTATAAGTCTTTGAAAATTTTTAATTTAAAGCTCCATCAAATGGAACAAAATCTAACTCAAATTGGGTTTAACAACTATCAGCTTTAAAATGACGTACCATAATTGAAAGGAATGTAACAAGACTTCTGATAGTTGTGTTAGGGTGTTTTACTCATCTTGCAAAAAAAGTCGACTTTTTCTTGATAATGCTCATGATAAGTAATGGGTAAACGATTTACACGTTAAAAACACCCCACTCATGGGAGATTTGACTCTTATATGATCTATAAAATTCTCTTGAGCAATAAAAGAAATATTAGTGCAACATGTAGCAAGACAATATGATACTCAATCATTAATTGTTGAGATATTTAACTTAAACAAAACAAAGCTTTGGAGAAAGCTCTTGAGAATGCTTTCAAAAAAATTCTAAAATTGCCTATAGCGTGCACAATGAAATAAATAAATCAGAGACATAACATGCATTCGCTATAATACTTATATAAACATTTTAATACATAAATATATAAACTATGATATATTATAAGATTAGTAGTCCAAGTTGAGCACCATACCATTGATGTCTCGCACAACTATAATCACAATAAGCAAAATATTTAAATTCTCTGAATATGGGAGCATGTAGACTAAGCAAAATATTGAATAATTATAGTATATATAATCCAAACTAAGCAAAATACTCTGCAGTGTACTAAATGAGTAATAAAAGAAGAATTTAAGAAAAAATGAAATTTACAATGCATCTCTTAATGAGTACTTACTGCCAGCTAACTCTACCCCTCCGCTTCTACTTTTTACAGGCGCTCGAGCTCGGGAAGGCGGCTACTTAAAGCAACAGCTCTGGCCTACAGTAAAATCCCACCGTTAACGGATTCAAAAACAGAGTTTTTTTGGTTTCTTCTCCTCTGTTATATAACCAGCGAACCAACGTAGCTGCCACTGACAATCACCATCCCCTGTTCTCCCTTCTTCCCCTTTCCAAAACCCTAACTGAAATTTATAGATTCCTACTATCTCTTTCCACTCATATATCATTCTCTGATTCGTGTTTCCAATAGCTCTGTTTCTTCACACTCCCCTGTTTTGCATAAGCATAGAGTACCTGGAGTAAGTAAACCCTTTTGGTTTTCGTTTTCTCTTTATCGACTCGCGGGTCTGATTCGAGATATTAAGAAACTGTTTCGTTGAAGATTTGAAGCGAACTGATCGAGAATGGAGCCGCTGAAGCAGTCGGAGGAGGCGATCGTTGGGAGCCATGGCGAAACAGAACTTGGCATCATCGGCAAAGGTGATGATGAAGAAGGCGGCGTCCAGGATGACCAAGCGCTGTTCAGCGTGAAGAGCTTCCTCTGGCATGGGGGGTCCGTCTACGACGCTTGGTTCAGCTGCGCATCAAACCAAGTACGCTACTGAAACTACTAACATAATGATCGATCCATTCTCGGTTTAGTGGTTGTTTTCTTTTTTTTTTGTTTTCGTTATTGATTCTTATGAAGTGTTCGAGGAAATGCGGTTGCAGGTGGCTCAGGTTCTGCTTACCCTGCCCTACTCGTTCTCCCAGATGGGCATGGCGTCGGGCGTTGTGCTTCAGATCTTCTATGGCTTGATGGGTAGCTGGACTGCGTATCTCATCAGCGTTCTGTATGTTGAGTATCGAACGCGCAAGGAGAAGGAGAACGTCAGTTTCAAGAATCATGTTATTCAGGTAGACTGGTTTCCCTCTCTTCTCTTCTTCTTCATCTCCTAATTTTCTTCACCTCCCTCTGCCATTAGGTTTCTCATTTGAAAATTAAGAAATCATTATTTCACTGTAAATTCATTTTCTCAACTTTTTTGCAATGCAATAGTGGTTTGAGGTGCTGGATGGTCTGCTCGGGCCATACTGGAAGGCCATCGGTCTTGCCTTCAACTGCACCTTCCTCCTCTTCGGCTCTGTCATCCAGCTTATCGGCTGTGCCAGGTCTCCATTTTTTACTGTAATTTTTCGCTTTTATGATCTAATATTTCTTCTTCTTCTTTTTTTTTTTTGAAAAAACTCTGAAATTATTTGGATTGTTTAGAATGTTTCATTGCACGAAAAGTTTTAAAAAGCAAAAGAATAAGATTCTTAATATTATTAAATTATGGACCCCTTCAGATCCTTCGCTTTTATGATCTAAATTTGCTTTATTGCTGTCCGAAGCATTTTTTTTTTTTTTTTGAAAAAACTGAAATTATTTGGTTTGTTTAGAATGTTTCATTGCACGAAAAGTATTAAAAAGCAAAAGAATAAGTTTCTTAATATTATTAAATTATGGACCCCTTCAGATCTTATTTATCGGAAATATTTGTATTGATGTAAATATGAATTGTTTTTTTTTTTAATTTTGCAGCAATATATATTACATTAATGATCGGAAAAAAATAATTTTGCAGCAATATATATTACATTAATGATCGGTTAGATAAGAGGACATGGACGTACATATTCGGAGCCTGCTGCGCCACGACCGTGTTTATACCCTCGTTTCATAACTACAGAATCTGGTCCTTCCTCGGCCTCGGCATGACCACCTACACCGCTTGGTTCCTCACCATCGCTGCCTTCCTCCATGGCCAAGTAACCATACCTTCTATTTCTTCTAAAACTCTAATTTTTATCTTTGTAGTAATTTGTTAAGCTCTTCTTAATTGAGTGAATATAACATCATAAAGTCAAAATTAACAAATCGGGTGGTTTTAACTTCCTACCATAATTAAGTCTATTTTGGCAGATTTGCTTTTTGTGTATTTATTTATTTGAGATACAAAGTTTATATATAAAAGTTAAATTAATTAAAAAAAACTATTGCTTGCTTAATTATTTTGTTGTAATGTGGATATCATTGAAAATTTCAAATATTCCGTTGGACAACAATTGAAGTTTAACTGTCTGACTCTTTAACATTCAAGATTATCTATAGCTTGTCTTCTAGCTGCTGCTAATAAATTTAGCTGATTTGAATTTTCATAATAACGGGCAAAATAAATATATAATATTAACGGCAAAAAGAAAAATGAAGAAAAAAAAAGGCTGATTGAATATGTCATATTGACTTTCCTTGTTAACAAAAGGTGATTATCAAAATATAAATTTGACATAGATGATAATCAAAATCAAAATCTTAACAATAATGTTTTTGTCATTTAAATTATCTGCCACCGCTCATAAGTACATTTAACACGTTATAATATGGTCAAATGATTGAGGGGATTCATAAGGCTGATCCAAAATAATAATGATGACAGTGACAATCACTTGCTATATATAAGAATATCCCAGATAATTGAAATAAATTCAAAACTAATTAAAATGTTTATGGTGTGCAATTCAGACAAATAATTAATATATGGAAATAGAGTATAAATATTTATTTGTGTGGGATGCAGGAGCCCGGAGTGGCCCACAGCGGGCCGGAGAAGATGGTGCTGTACTTCACCGGCGCCACCAACATCCTATACACGTTCGGGGGCCACGCCGTCACCGTGTAAGTGCTCCTTGGCCTCCTCTGCGCCCTACTGTTATTATTACTCTCCTTAGAAACAGCCCCTTTTCGCCAACAGCTTCCTTCCTTCCACTTCGTTGCCAGCTTTTGCTGGCCGCGTTAATACTATTTTTTTTTTTTTTGCATTATTTTTCAAGAAAAAAATTAAAGTATTGTAACATAAATTTAAACATAAAAGATTTTATGGTGTCATTATAAATGTGAAATACACATTCAAAGATTAGAATACCAATTCCGTAAATAGAAATATACCAGATAATATGATTTTGTGAATCTTAGAACATATTATGCGATCCTGCTCATGCAGATGGGCCAATCAACACAATTTAAGAAAAAAAAAATAGCTTTAGTGTCAATACTAATAATGGGGGAAACGTCCCAATTAGGTGAAATTCTATACATAAATAGGGTTGGTGCGGTGGGGCTGGCCTGCGTAATTGCTGACCAGCTTTGGGGACTCGGTTCAAAACTAAATTTGATGGAACCAAGCATTTTCTTTCCCCCAACAAAGTAAAAGAAAAAGCATCCTTTAAACAAGGATTGATTTCATTTACTTTTATGTTATTATATATTGGAAAGAATCTTTTTAGTGGAGATTTTCTTGGATAATGATTACTAGTATGAAAGTTGAAGTTTGGCTTACTTTCTTAATCAGTAGATCACCCTCGAGATTAGCCCCCTTTATTTATATATATATATATATATATATCCATTTGTCAATTCCACTCTCTTACACTTGCTTGTGAGGTTTCTTACCGAGACCATTGCCGGCCTGCTCACTCCACATATGCAGTTCTGGATTCTTTTTTCTTATTTTAAGAACAAAATGGTACAGAAATTGCACAAAGCTGTCCGAGTTAGTAATATTTATACTTGTATGATTCCCTCCTCATGTGGCTCTTTTATTAGAATCGCCTTTTAGTTGAGAGTTTTATTTTCTTTGCTTTTATCTTAAAACAGCAAGGAAAAATTTGCACTTATCTGTATGATGTAGGAAAGAAATTGCTTTCAAGCGTGTACAAAGCATTTTCCTAAAGCAACCCCAAATTTGTCCTCCTTTACCAACTTCACTTTCATTTCTTGTCTAAAAGGTTCTTAAATAGTTCGAATCAAGATAGACTCTTGTGATGTTATCTAATGCCAACATGGATTTCTATTTGTAACAATTGTTATAAAGGGGCTATTATTATTGAATATGATTTAAATATCAATGAAGTCCATATTTTAATATTCCCTGTTCAAAAAAATTATTTTTGATTCAATATTAATACTTCTCAGACGTTGCACATTCTTCTTGATGTGGCACGTAGATTGCTTGGATATCGTCTAATTTAGCCTTTATTTTGACATCATAAAAATCAGATAAAATGAATATTCTTAAAACTCAATTTGAGGCTGTTGGCAGAGCCTTATGATAGTAGTCGCTCAATGATGATTTGATGACAATAATTGCTCACAAAATCCTAATTGGCAAGGCATTATCATTTTGAAGCCTCGCTCTAGAGTACAGAAATCAATGATTAACATTGTCTAATTCCAATGGGGTGTATGAATCAAATTTAAGGCTATTAAAAAAAAATAATGTTGATAGGCTCTCGTCTTTACATTGAAATATTCACCTCTCCAAGAGTAATCCAATGCCTCTAATGGCAATCCAAATAATATAAAACTCAAAATATTCTCAAGTAGTTTTAGAGATCAAATTTGAGTCATCAAAAACTACAATGTTATGAAGCAATTTTGAGTCGATCGCAAGGGCATACAATAATTGCTAATGTTCTTGAGAACTGGTCAGCGGACCTGTGGCCCTGGTGCCACTTGAATTTGACCACGTTAATTCTTAACCGTTTTATTCGTCTATCAGAAACAGATCAGTACTAATGTTGTACAATGCAAACAGGGAGATCATGCACGCCATGTGGAAGCCACAAAAATTCAAATACGTCTACTTGATCGCCACGTTATACGTGTTCACCCTCACACTCCCATCAGCATCAGCCATGTATTGGGCATTCGGCGACCGGCTCCTCGACCATGCCAACGCCTTCTCCCTGCTCCCCAAGACAGGATGGCGCGACGTCGCCGTGGTTCTGATGTTGATCCACCAGTTCATCACCTTCGGTTTCGCCTGCACGCCGCTCTATTTTGTTTGGGAGAAGGTGATAGGCATGCATGACACTAAGAGCATTGCCCTCCGAGCCCTCGCTCGCTTGCCAGTCGTCATTCCCGTCTGGTTCCTCGCCATAATCTTCCCCTTCTTTGGTCCCATCAACTCCGCCGTAGGCGCGTTACTAGTCAGTTTTACTGTCTATGTCATCCCCTGCCTCGCTCACATGATCACATATCGCCATGCTGCTTCTCGCAAGGTACGCACGCAATCTTCTGCTTCTGCACGTTTTAATTAATCATCATTTTATTCCTTTATTTATGCTAATCAGTATAAAGCAGAAGACATAATTTGGGCTGTTGCATAGCTGGTGATGAATTAAACGTAGAATTTACATATTTTCAGGGGTGAATTTGTAAGAAAAGTTCGGTCGGTATATGTCCTGTTCTGTTCTTTATTTCACTATGCACCTAATTATACAGCTATCAGAGTTCAATGCGAAAGAGCCTATTTTGATAAAGTCATAAGCAGGACCAGCACCTTCCTCCGTATCACCTGCTATCACTGCCCTTTTCTAAAGCATTTTACCATGCTAGAATTTATGACCTTTACCCCACCTCGGATTGAATCTTTTCACCCACCTTGGGGGGTGTAAGTCGGCTCGATAATGTTGCTCGTGAACTTCACTCATATGCTAAGAGATAAGTGCTGAGCCGACTCGAGCTCAAACTGAATAAAATTAATCAAGTTTAAGTTCAAGCTTGAGGTGGCTCGAACTCGACTCGACTCTACTCATTTACGCCCCTAATCTGGGAATTTCTTTTTATTTAGCATTAGTAACTTAATGCAATAAGTTGTTATGTTAAAACTCCCAGTGCAAATTTTCTTCCATCCAAACCATACTTTGGACATGTATTTCTGATTGGTTTCAAATTTGGTTGCAGAATGCAGCAGATAAGCTTCCATTCTTTCTGCCTAGCTGGACGGGGATGTACGCCCTGAACATATTTGTGGTGGTTTGGGTTCTGGTGGTTGGGTTTGGGTTTGGTGGATGGGCTAGCGTCACCAACTTCATCAGACAGATTGACTCCTTTGGCTTATTTGCGAAATGCTATCAGTGCACGAAACCTCCCGCTTCAGCGCCATCGCCCAGCCACCACTGACCATCGTCGCCGCCTTCTAAAGTCCATTTCACCGAACACTCTGGCCGAGCCGGCCTCGCAGGATTGGCTTCTCCGAGCCACAATTTGTGCTACTGGGTGTGAATTATAAAGTTTAGATTTGTCTATTGGGTGCTTGTGTATGAAATCATGCTTGGTTTGCCCCTGCTTGCACTATGTAATGTTCTTTAATATTAAACCCAAATGATCAAAGAAGCAATGAATCTATTGATTCTGCAGTCTATTTTCCATTTTTTTTAAGGTGGTGACATGTTACCTCGTCGTACTTGATGCTTGCAAGTAAAAAAAGCAAATGAATGAGGAGGTTCTCTTGATGGCGTGGGTTATTATTACAGCCACATTCATTTGCCTTTAAATAAAAGCAAGAGTTCGGCTGTCTGTCCAACCGAACTGCCATTATTTGGCAAAAGCGTTGCTTTTCCATTTATTTAGAATGGATTCAATGTAGGAAGATTGAATTTATTTGAATCTGCGACACTTTGATGATTTTTTTTTTTTTTTTGGCTTTGCAAAAGCAATTTTAATCATAATATTAACTAAAATTTTGTGATATTTTCTTTTGGTAAATTTTGACAGAATTTTGATTGGGATTAATTTTAAATTTGCTAGATTTATTTTAGGATTAATACGATATATGAATAAGCGATCAATACATATTTATTTTTTTCATGATTATGTGAAATTATAGAGAAGTTTGGCATAATATTACTGGCACATCTTTTTCTTTCGAACTATTGTCTAAGATAAACAAGCCAATCAGATCGAAATTGAAGGTTCTGGGAGGTAAAAATGTCGGCTGCTCCCCGGAGATTGTCTCTGCATTTATTTTTATTTTTATTTGTTCTATGAGAGCTTTGAAGAGTTGAATTTTCATAAGTCATATTGGATTGTAGATAAGGCATTACCCAGATATTTCGCGTTTATTTAACAATGATTTTTTTTTATATGGGATTCGAGGTTTCTCATAGATACAAGTCACTCTGGTTAATTATCCATCTCAATAACAGCAAAGCACTTTTGATTATGGCTAGAAGTAAGGATTGAAATTCAAACAAATAATAGCAGTAAACCTAGAATTTTAGCTATGAAATTTATCACTTAAACTTAAAGCAGATGGTGGGAGAATGAAGATGAAACTCGATCTAGATCTAATGGTCCATGATCTACTTAGTTAGAGGAGATAGTCGACTCGGCCTGACATAAGGATTCTTGTTAGCAGTCATGTGTTGGGTCGTCCAAGATATTCTTGTAGATCTGGGGTAGATATTTGTCTAAAGAGATAAATTTACATCGATCTTAGCCAACAAAAGATATTGTTTCAATCAACTATTCTTTTATGATTCACAACTCAAATGATAGAAATTCTTTGGGAAACATACGGGATGCGGTCGTGACCATAATATAATGGTGTCATTTGGCGGCAACCACCAAGTAAGATGTCTCTGGTCGTAACAGTTATTTTGTGGTATTATTTGACAACAAAACCACACGGACAGAGGACTCACGCCACGTTCTTACTGGCATGTAATTACTTTGATTGTGATTATATTAATATATTTTATATGACATTCGCTTTTTGTGAGCTATAGTCAATCGGAAAGTTTTCAACCTCAACAAACTGTTAAGGAGAGTGGATAAATTTTGTTTTTATCTTTTAAGTGATTGAATTTTAATTGAGTGTTTTAGTTGACTATTGCAAAAATCTTGATTTAAAATACTGACCCATTCGATTGAAATTTCAGATCAACACAGCTCTCATCGAGGAATTTGTATGTTTTAATGTATTTATATTTGAAAGGGAGGTTTAATTTTGTCAGTTTAGACTTTTAGAATATGAATCCTATCGACTCCTATTCTTAAAAGGGGGATTAGACAAGGTGACTTGAACTTGTAATTTTTATTTTAGGAATTGGATGTCTATTTTAAAATTACTAGACTCGTAAAGTCTAGTCCTTGCAGTGAGGAGGATCAGACTAGTTGGGTGAGACTTATAACCCTATCATATAGACAAGGCAACCTTATTAGCCCGCACATCATTCACCAACTTATTATTTGAGCATTCAATACATTGGTTGGAGCACATGCGAACGTTAAATTTCACATGTTGGAGCTATTTTTGCAGGAGCATTTGTTACCTTAAAACAATTTATATGATTTTAAAACATGAAGTAAATCAAATCATTTAGACATAATTTTCATTTTAAGCATTTTACCGCATTTTGTTCGTAAGTAGACATGTTGTGAATCCAATGACGAAATTTTTAATATCAACTTTTAAGAAAACTTCATATTTCAATTGCACTTAGCCCCATGGAAGTCTAAGTTTGAATAAATCAATTTGAAATTTTTTTTAGATTTATGAGCTAAAATTCTAAAATCCAAATCTTATTATTTTAAAACTTGAAAATTTATATTTTAATAGCCCAAAACTTTAAAATTTTTAAAACTCCAAGAACTTAAATATTCAAAAGCCCAGATCTCCGATATTTTAAATCCAAAGAGCTTAAAATCTTGAAAGCTCGAGTTTACAAGTTGTTTTAAAAGCCTAAAATTCCAAATGTTTTAAAGTAATTCCAAGTCCAAATCACCCAATATTTCGGCAGCCTCTTGTCGTCAACCCCCATTACCAGGCAAGAGAGTGTCAAATGTGTGTGTAAATATAGTAATTGAGTCATATGTATGTTAATCTCTCTATTTTTCATTAAAATGGAAATATTTATATTTTGCTCAAATCTGCCTTCTCTCAAGTCTCTCAGTCCACATGCGCTGCACATGGATGAAAAACCCCTCAGCCCTCTTACAAAGCTTAATTGTTCTCTTGGGTGGCAATCCTCTGCATCCTGAGCCACATGAATCAAGCAATTATAAAACCCAAAAAGCTTAGTATTATTATTATCATTTTGAAGAAATGATATCCAATATATCTCCCCCCTCGCCTCCTTAGTGCTTAATGAAACACAAAGATAGAGAAGCACAACTCAACATGACTCAGAACTCCTCCTGCACGTGAAAGCAAAAAAAAGGTCATAAATCTGTGGAAAATTAGCAGATCTGAAGTAACATGCGCCTAACTCCATTGACTAAATTAGCTTGTCTGAGGACAAATTTCTAAGAAAATCTTCTCTTTTGAAGAAATATCTCATTATGCTGATAAGCTACTTTCAGTCACATCCAACATGATCAAGAATTCATGGGTTTGCAACCCCATTATGAACTGTTCCCAAGGAAATATTTTTTCTTCAAAATAAATGATATTTAATATAAATTAAATAATATTTTTACTTTACTTTGTTATGCATGAACTTTGATGCTGTATTGTATTTTTTTTTATTTAAATATTGTGTTGTCTTCTTGCTTGTAATGATTTAATGTCTTTCTATCATTAAACAGAATGTTCAAGGTTTTTTTTTTTTTTCTTAAATATTAATTCTTCCGCATTTTAAGCCATGGAGTTTGATCCCTCATTGGATTCTATTCTCTTTTATGCCACTTCATTGTGCTTTAGAGTTTAAAGATGGAGCCTCTATCCGAAAAGTAAATATTATGGAATATTTTAAAGATATGTTCTAAAGAAATTTTAGAAGATAAATATGTTTGTTTTTTTCTCATCTCAAAAATATTTTTGTTGAATTCTGATTGGAACATGACCCGTGAGTTAGAGCCGAGAGGAATAGGTGAGAGAAAGAGAGAGAGTTGAGGAGTAAGAGAATCTCCAGGTGTCAGAAAACCCACGTGTGTGAGGATCCAAAAGTCCCTTTATTTATGTCATGACTTTCTATTTATAGGAGTCTGAGAATACATGTAAGGAAAGAGTAGTTTTCATGATTGTCTGGATAAATACAAGTAAATGTAAGGAAAGAGTAGTTTCCATGACTGTTTAAATAATTGAATTCAAATTACATAGTGAAAAAAATAAAAGGTGGCATTTGGTCGATCGCCTAAAGCCTTGAAGTTGGTCGGCAATGTCAGTCGTATGTCGTGTATGAGTGTTGGGGGGCTATGACGGTCGATCATATCTTCTTAGAGATCTGGTCGCTTGAATGGGATGTGTGGGCCTCTGATCGGTAAATCCATAGGTCAACAGATTTGCGGAATGAAAAATTTCATCAGTCGGCCCATTATGTCGGTTGACTGCACAATAGAGTCGAATGAGTGCTTTGGTTGATGAATTTTTTGTTTTTTTCATCCGGAACTTGATTTCTATCCATTGGTTCTTGACCGTTTGATCCCTTCGAGTATTGTTTTGGCATTTTTGTGGTATACATATTAGTTCTCCAATTTGTCTACTGCTTGATGGCGACTGCTACGATAAGGACAGGAAAATTAAGAATCATTAAATAGCACAAAAATTGAGAAAATTAATTTAATAGTAGAATCTCCTTTGTTTTCCTTGCTTTTTCCTTGCCCACTAAACCCTATAAAAAAGAGTACAATTTGTGTTTGGGTTCACCTAGATCAATTTCTTCTAAAGTCTTTTCGATTGACACCATGGCTTATGGTTTGAGTTTTCCTTGCCCCCTAAACCCTATAAATAAGAGTATACAATTTGTGTTTGGGTTCAGCTAGATCAATTTCTTCTGAAGTCTTTTCGATTGACACCATGGCTTATGGTTTGAGCAAGAAGGAAATGAATGTTCATCTCCTAGCTCTGGGAGGATTCCGGCTTCCTGTGCCTTCTATAGTGGAAAAGAATAATAAAATAATTATTAAGAAAAAGAAGCAAGCAACACTTGAACTTGAGCCAGTGGATTAGGTTGGTTCTTCAGACAGCCCTGATGATTGGCCACCAAAAAGAACGTCGACGGTTGACCCGGCTCTAGCCACTAGTCTGAGTGTTGGGGTAGATGCAGAGGAAAGTGAGTGAACCGCCCCTCCTGCTGAGCGTGTTCAAAAGGGGTTGAGAGAAAAGTCGACCGCTCATTGATCTTCCCTCGCCCTTTATGCCAAGTAAGGATGAAGAAACCTGATTTGAGGAGCAGAAGAATTAATGACTACTTTTGAAATAAATATATATTGGGGTATTTAAAAGTACTTCTTTCAAAAAAAATTTAATAATCCTTTGATTTCATCATTGATGCAGATGATTTGATCGCTCTAGAGGCTCACATTGATGGCATGTTGTATAAGAACATTGTTGACTCTACCCCATCAGTGGCATCTGCACCTCGAGGGCCAATTGTGGCACCTTCTCCTGCGGTTGACCAAACTTTGTGGTGGTTGATCAGCCACTTCAGTAGTTCCTAGTAGGAGCAATTGAGGGGTCGATAGATATCCTCCAAGTCAAAGTAGTGCCAAATGAGGGATATGGTCGGCCATTCAAACCAAGTGGTTGTAATTCTTGTTGAAGCATCCGTGCTGGAGTTGATGGTTCCCTACAAGCGCTTGGGGGCAAAGGTCACCACTCATTTGCGAAGGTCGGTGCTATGTCTTTTAGCATGCTTAATTTACTCTACTTTTTACATTTACTTTTCAATGAAATTGCACTTTTAAAAAAAAGCATTTTCATGTTTTTATTGTTGGTACAATAGGTAGGATAATTGAAGCGAATTGGAGCGAAAACGGTGTGAAACTGAGGCATTTGAAGCAAATGGGGTTGCCAGCTGGCTGACGCCTAGATGCTACTTTTTGGGAGCCAAGGCACTGCCCCATAATGCCTTGGTGCCACAGACTGGGCGCTTAGGCTCCATAGTCCTCCCAACTACCTGAGAAGGAGGCTCCTAAACGCTCAGGTGCCAAAACTATCTGAGGCGGTTTCAGTGCAAACCAGGGGATTATTTGATGGATTTGGACTATTTGGAAGATGACTTTTAACAACTTTTTGGCATTTCCAACTCCTAGAATCCTCTAAGGATGCCAGGAGGATGTAGGTAGGAGTAGGAAGTGTAGAATCTACCTTTTCTTGAGAGATTTGAGAGGGGAATTTTAGTGAATTTTGTAATGGATTTGTATCAACATTTTAAGGATCAATATAAGGTTTTGTTGAAGGGATTTACATTTCTTTCTCAAGGGAGAAAAACTAAGTATTGTGTTTTGATTGCCTTGTACATGATTTTAAGAACATATTTAATGAATTTGCTTTGATTCAATGAAGTTTTATGTGGTTTTAAACGTGCTTTATGAGTAGAATTCCCACACTTTTCTATTGTGATTATTAAGCAGAACTTGTAGAATGTTGAATGCTAAGGAATTGGTTTTTCTTATTTAAATGTGATGATTATTCTAATAGGCTTCATTTACGTGTCATACTGGCCATATAACTTGTTAAAATTAGTTGTGCATTAGGACTCGGAAGAGAGGTGGCGAAACGACAAGAATATTCACATTGTTCAATAGGCTATGGCGAAGTAGTCATGAGGCAATGCAAATATGGGAGATTTGTTGATAGGGTTTGAACTTGGAGTTCCTAGGGTGACAGTCGGAAGCAAGAACCAAACTTGAACAATACTTATTTACACGCTCGACAGAGGGTAAATAGATTTATGCTTCTATTTGTCACTACATAAATTACAATTCTTAGTAGTCATATCTACAATCTACCCAGTAAATCACATGAGAAAAGTACTTTTATCAATTTTGAATTCCACCTAATCAATTGATCTAGATATGTTTAATTTAGTCATAAAATCTTAACTTAGGGGTAGTTGTTATAAAAACCACCTCTAGCGACATTCCAAACTAGGACATGAAATTAATAGACTAGAACTTCACTTTAGGAACTATCTACCTCCCATTCTCGATGGGATCGATATTCTGGACTTAATAGAGCCCTATATTACTGAAACGATTTATATACTTGCTTGAGAAACCTCAGTGAGCAATTATACCTAATTTTAAGAACTCACTCAATTTGCTACGGAGCAGATCAAGCTTTTTGTGCCTTTACCATGATTTATATAAATCGTGATAATCACCGGGGTGGATCAGTCAACCGATATTATTAGGCTGGAGGGGGAAATTGATTCACTTCAAAGTTCCATGAACAATGTGCACGTTGAGTTAGGGCTTATCGACGAGTCGACGGTTTTGAATAGATTTCATCGAGAGGTCGGTCGGATGGAGCAGATGTTTTGGGGAAGAGTTGGTCTTTTGAAAAATGCTTCATAAAGGCTATGTCTAAGTTGAAGCAGAGAAAGATTCCTTTATAATTTTTTTCTTCGTACTCTCTAATCATGTTATTTGCAATAAAATAATATTAAAATAAATTTGAAATAATGTTTTGTATAACACTTATCATTATTTGATTTATGTGTCTGCCTTATAAATCGAGCAATGGCGTGTTTTTTACTCTTTACGCTTTCTGATTTTCTTCTCTACAGCTTTTGTTTCTTTTCCCTTCTTTTTGTCTTTCAGTTGTTTCCTTTCTCAGTGATATGATGGCTCAAAAGTATTCTCCCACTCTCTTCGCCTCCTACGTCACTGTTGAAGCCTCGACCTCGACAGCGGGAGACGTGACATAAATACATAGGTGATATGTTTTTAATGACAGTATCATGCTTCGAAGAGTGTCAGACTCGGTGTGCGTGATGAATGACGTTGGCACTGATCTACTCTTTTTACCGGGAACAATTCAATTATGACCTCTGACTGCCCTTGTGATCCGAGCTTCGGAGCGTTTTCAATAAATATGGGGTTATTCCGGCATAAGTGTTGTCGAACTCCATTGTTGCGATCATGACCTTCTTCATTTATTGTCACCGAGAAGACATCCCCTGATCGACCAACTTGTTCAACTAGTTCTACTCAATCAAAGACAAAGAGGGTTTTGTTATGTTTTTGGCTAAAAAGAAACTCCCACTGCTTAGAGTTGAAAACAAAATAAAAGACTGAAGGAAACAATTTGTGGTTGGTTCATGCTCCAGTGATTGAGGAATTCTGACAAAATCGGTGGATGTCGAGGGATACAAACTGAAGTCCCTTTCGAAAGATCTGCATGCCGCCGAGGCGATGGTGAATGGGCGGCAGCTCTCGGTTCCTTAATATACTGTCAAGAAAATGGTAACCCAGGTGTTAAAGGGTGAGATGGCCCGAGATTTATAGCTAGTCTTAGATGCTATTGAGGCCACTCAGGCAAATGAAGTAAGGGAAAAGCTGGCCACAAAGCAACAAAAGCGGAAACTTCATCAGATAGTAAGTAATCTCATTGACGGTATTATTTTAGAAGGTTCGTCCCTTGATGTCGTTGCCTCTACTTTGGCTGACGCCAGGGTTGCAAAATTTATAACCTCAATTTCTAAAACCATGGTCGTTATTCAAAACATGGTGACTTGTGAAGTTACCAATATTGATTGATCTCATTTGATTGATGCAAGGAAAAAGCAGAGGAAAGAAGCATGTCGGATCCTCCGAAAGAACTGAGGCCACTAGTACTTCGGCTCGTCGATCCGCTCAACCGGCCACCTTGCAATGGTCTGGTCCTCTGTCAATTAGTGTGGTCTTGCTCACCTCTCAGCCACCCAGTCCGCTCCTTATTGGCTTGACAAAAAGGGCCAAGACCACCTGAGTCGAGCCTGCCTCTACTTCTGGTTCTTCCCGGGATCCGATTGTCGATGAGCTGTTGCCCGCCTGGGATATAGTGATTCATTCTCTGCTCTGATGGCCCGATGGCTTCTGACATATAGGGATATCTCCATCAAGATGATCTTGGTTATTTTGTACGCTCTGTATAACGCAAGGTGTTACTCATTAAGGACACGAGAGACTCACTCTATGTCCTATAACTTAACGAGAACTTTGAAAACATCAATGTATTTCCATATGTAATAACCATCATATGATTCGTGATAATATAATCAAAACATCTTTTATCAAGAGGATTTGTGGGTCTCCCAAAAATATAATTAACCATTTGTAGCATTTGTAGCTGCTTTGCAAGAGTGGCCGGAGAGGAGCTGACGAGCGCTGTTCACGAGAAGACAGAAGCATGGCTCCGGCAAGGTAGATGTAGAAAGGCCATCGTGGGAAAAGCTGCGACCTTTGGAGGTCGACGGCGGTGTAGGGGTCTTGCAATGGGGTGAACGTGCATGACGATTTGCCTGAATGGATGGAGTTACTGTTGCTTGTAGCGGGTGGGAAGATGGAGACGACGTAGCCGGTGAGAATGATGAATATGAAGAAACCTACCATACTCTGCTTCGGTTCCTATTCGGGAGAGAGAGAACGAGAAGAGACGGCGTTGGAAGTGTGCCGTGCAGTTAAAAAAAAAAAAAAAAAAAAAAAAAAAAAAAAAAAATTCTGCTGTGCAGGTAAATATTGAACTTTTATTTGTTGTCTGGGTAAAAACCCCTAATTTCTCTCCGGGAAGTCGATCTCCGCACAGCTTCCGCCAATGCTTTCCCAATCCAATCTGCCAAAAGAAGGGGCAAACTCTCTCTACCTCTCGCAGCTCGAGAAACTCGAATCGCTTCCGCTTGCTTCTTGAATTAACAGAAACAGAGATTGTTGAGATGGATTCGCTCATGATCCATTTATCCGCATCCTTACCGAGGGCAATAAGTCGCGGCTGCTCTACTTCGCTTTCTCCGCGCCGGCCTGCACCCTCGAGCTTCCCCTGGTTTTCCTGCATCCCATTTCCCAGAGTGATCGATGTCGCAGGCTTACCGTCTGTTTCCTTTGAGAAAAGGCTGCCCCTGCTGCTGCATAGAGTACCTAAGGCAAGGAGTCCTCTCGTCTTTTTTTTCTTATTTCAATGTGTGATCTGAATCTTCTTCCTAGGTTTTCTGCGTTCTGCATTTTGTTTGTTGAAATTCTTGGTATCGATTCGTTCTTGTACAACTTTGTTTTCTAACTCAGTTTAGTTTGCTTAGATTCTATAAGGTAATCTATCCCTTGAACGAGATTTTTTTTTTTTTTCTAATTTTTGGAGCTCAGATGACACCACGTCATAGAACTCCACAGGAATAGGCAGAAAAGAAGAACTCATAAAGCATATGAAGGTTATTAAGGCCACTAAGGATTGAGAAATCAGTTTTTAATTAGAGGCTGCGATGAAGTTAATTTGGAGGTTTTACAATGTGTAGTGATGAAAGAAAGTTGAAAAAAATCCTCTTTTATAGGAAAGAGGGATTGACTGAGTTTAACATAAGTCTGATGGAGGTTGGAGCAACCCCTCTCCTAAGAAAAGAGGGGATTCAGTGACCTAAAATCAGAGGACAATAGATGTCATCAGGATAGTGTTCCTCGTGAGGGAAGATGAGATTGAACATCAAGGGTCGATGGGAAATTGAAAGTAGTTGAAAAACTGCCTCTCCTTAAAGAAAGTGGGATTAAAAGGTTCAAAGTTTGGTGGGTGATTGAGGCAATCAAGGTAGTACCCTTTTTGAAAGAATAGAGATCAAATGAATGAAAGTTCTTTTGAGATTGGAGGTGAACAAAACAAACCTTCTCATGGACATGGGTGAATTGAACACATGAAGGCAGAGAACCTCTGCATGCAATTGGGGCGCTCCTTTTGATTAAAAGGAGGTGGATCGGATGATCTGGAATTGGCGGCGCAGAGAAAATCCAAGATCATTGGAACCATGAATTGGATATGATCATGACAATATATGTTGGGCGATGGAGCAGCATTCTTGAATGTGGAATCCAAAAAAAAAAAAAAATGCAATCATCAAAGGATTATCTTGCCTTTGGGCTAATATGATTTTCTTGTATTGGCAACATTTAGGCAGGTGATCGATCAATGGTCAACAACAGTGGTGTGGAGGGAACCATAATAGAGGAAGTCTTCAATCATCAAATAAATATATCTTTTTATAGCTCTCTAATGTGATTAAATTTCAATGAGTGGACTAATCAAAATAATGTTGGAAAGTCTATTGATTAAATTTAGTATACTAAAAAATGATAGAGGTTATGGGCTCCAAAAATTTCGACGCCCTAAACTCTCACATTTTGTTGTTGTTTAGAGAGCTTTGAAAGTTAAATTTTCGGAAAACATATGAAGTAGTAGATGAGACACTACCTAGAGATTTTGCCCTTATTTTATGATGACTTTTTGATATAAGATTAAAGGTTTCTCATAGGGGCAAATCCCTATGGTTAATTACCTCTTCCAGGAGAACACTTTCGATTAATGTTAGTCATTTAACACTGAATAATCAATATAAGTAGCAACATACATATGTTTTAAATTGTAAAATTTATTAATTGGAGCTTAAAGAAGATGGTGTGGGGCACGATGGCGAACATGGTTAAAATTTCATGGTTTCGTCGTCCCGGGTCATCATGGTCTTTGATCTACTTACTCAGAGAAGGTAGTTGACCCAACTTGATTGAATGATATTTGCTGATAACCATGTGATGCGTCGTCCAAGGGACCCTTGTAGATCTGGGGTGAATATTTGCTTAAGGAGACAAATTTAAGTCGACTTTAGATAACATAAGGCTTTATACCAATCAGATGTAATATGTTGCTACTATGGGAAATCTCTAACCTGATGTACCCAGTCAAAATTTCATGATTTCGTCTTAGAACGAATGGAGCGGGACTTTTGACATTTTGTACAAGAAAACATGGAGGAGCGGGAGTAGTTATAGACCCCGAGCATTTTCTTTTTATTATTATATCATTATTTTTTAATGGTCAATAGTGGTATGTTGTCATTTTTTGTATCAAAGTTTTCATCTTCATGAGAGTGATATAATGTCACAAATGAATTGCTAAATGGACACTTTTAGAGGATTTAGCAAATCTATAATGTTTGGTGCTTTTCAAGTGAAACTTGCTAAAGAGTATTTGCCTCCTCTCGTTTGGCAAATAATATTACGTTCGGAGTTCAGACGCAGATCTGTGTCCGGACAACGGACGATACAACGAGGCGGAGCGGGAGCTCAGACCTTCGTTGTATCACATTTGTTTTCCAGGCGCAGCTCGCGTCCGAACTCCGGACATAATATTTTTTCCTCCTTTGGACACCATGGATCCATTTCTCATGTAGAGAGAATTTTCTTGGGGACCAGTCTAGCAGCCCTTATCCACATGATAGGATGAATAAAGCATGACAACTACCTCCTTTTCATTTGCACTTGTCCTATACCCGGAAAGGAAGGATATATGAAGAACCATTTTAGTTAAGTTTTAGCTTGGGTGGTTCAATATCTAAATGCGCTCAAATTTTGACAGTTTTGTTGTCGTTGGAATTATTTCAATGGGATGACCCTTTTGACTATAAACTTATATCATTTAGGGTGTGTTTGGTCCCACAAGCAATTTATTTTTTGTTTTTTTTCTTTTTTTGTTTTTGTTGAAGTCATATATTAGAGCATCAAGAGAATTAAGTTGGCGCATTTGGGAGAAAAATGTTTATGCCAAATGTATATCTAGATATTAAAAAATGTATTATGAAAAGTTAGTTATTAAGTAGATAAAAATGATCAAAGAGTTTTCTAAATTTAATAAAATGACTTCAAGCATTAGCATTGAAGTTTTGAAGTTTGTTTAATTAGCTATGAACCTTTTTACAAAGGATGTTTAAGATGAGATACCTTGGTGCATTCTTGACCTTAAATAAGTAGAATATCAAAATAATGTTGAGCATTCTCATGAGATAAATTGTTTAAGATGATGCTTTAAAATGATGGTATAATATGCTAATTTTTGTAGGTGTGATGTTAATAATTATCGATTATTAATACGATAAAATGATACATTGGTTCAAATATGTTAATAATATTACAAAAGAAAAAAGTGAACGAATGAGTTATAATTTCTAAGAGGTAATGCTGAATGTTTAAAATGTAGAAATGCTTTATATAAATAATAAGAAGAAAATATGATGGAGACTTAAAATATAAATTTCATGAAACTTTAGCTAGTTGGGCTATGTTGTATGAATCTTAATACTAGAAGCTAAAAAAATCATTAGTAGCCAATAAGCATTACAAAAATAAGAATGGTGAGATGAATATTTGATAAAAGTAAAAAATAATATATTAATAAATAATTATTATGTTAAGCAGGTTGGTGAGAATATTATCTATCGAATAAGACTGTTGAAATCAACTTGCATGGATTGGGCATGTAATGCACCACTACGGAAGATAAAATTAATGTCATGTTAGGAAGAATAATTAGTTGGATTAAGGTAACATAGATAGAAATTATGCAAAAAAATTTAGCACAAAATAAATTTAACATCCCATGCAGTCTTCAATTGTGATGAATGATGGATGAGAATTCATAGAGCCAGTCGTAAATAGTTAGGATAATACTGTTGATGATGATGAGAAGACCATTCATTTCAAAAAAAAAAAATAATAATTTGACCATATTATGTTCTCTTTTTTAATTTACAAAGCAAATGGGTAAATGCAACAAACAATCTAAGCACTTCCTAATCTTGCAAAAGCATTTGAAGTATTACAGAATGGTATTTTTTTGAACATTTAGAATCATAGAAATTGAGAAATAATGCTGGTTTCTTACTTTTCATTCCTGCAGGCAGCCATAGAATCTGCTTATTCCGGCGAGACCAAATCCTGTAAGTGATAAAATGTAAGTTTGTGTTTGTTCGCCTATTTGTTACTTAGTTGTACTGTAAGATTTTGCATTTCATGCTGCTTCCAGATCAATCCAAAACAGCCCATGTGAAGTTCATTTTGCAGAGACAATGTCAATTTGGTGAGCAATATCTTCTAGTTGGAGACGACCCATTGTTTGGTTCATGGGATCCAACAAATGCAGTTCCTTTGGATTGGTCTGATGGCCATGTCTGGACAGCTGAGCTGGTGAGGGCAAGAAAGGTTTTTTTTTTAAGAAGATTTAAATACATAACACTCAATTTTTATATATTTACATAACACCTAAACTTCAATTTTTACATACGGATCACCTTACCTATGTATACAAAGATGCATTTCACATTTTAAATGTTAAAATGGTGGTGTTTTTAATGTGGTATAAAAGATTTGGGTGGTATAAATTTAAAAAGCAAAGTTTAGATGTTAGATATGTAAACACAATGAGGTGGTATGTATGTAAATGCCCCTAAAAACAAAGTCAGTCTCCCCTTTTTTTTAAAACATTTAAAACTTTATCATTTTTGTTGTCCTTAGAAATACCCTTAATACATGTCTTTTTAATAAATCCTCATTTTACCTTCTTTTTCTTCAGTGGCATATGAGTTATTAACTCTTTTGTTTTATCTTTTTCATGCCTATCTTCCTATCTTACTGTTTCCTAAAACTCAGATCTACATGTATGTATATAAAACTTATTTTTAAGACTTCTTAATATTTTTGGTTGTACAGTACTCTTGAGGGACTTCTATAAACATAATGCAAATGAAATATAAAAAAAAGAGAAAAGGTATGCTGTTAATTATTTCGCGCACTAAATTCACTGTTTTGCTAATTAGGATCTACCTGTTGGGAAGATTATCCAGTTCAAATTTATTCTTAGAAGTTTATTAGGGCTGGTCATTTGGCAACCTGACCCTGACAGGAGGTTGGAGGTTTGGGAGACTGAAAGGACCATCATTATTTGGGACAACTGGGAAGATCCACAGAAGCTCACTATAATGGAAGAGGAGCTTACAATGGTTCCAGTTGCAGAATGGCTTTCCTCAGAAAGCAACGCTGACCCCGATGAGAGAGTTGTAAATAACTTGGAAAACGTGAAAGAAGGGATTTCCTTTGAAAACAAATCTGAAAGCCATGAAAAAGTTTCAAATGACCTGAACAAGTTAGAAGAAGGAATCTCCACCAAAAGCAGTAGTGGAATCCATGAAAAATCTGCAGAAGCTCTTTCCTCAGAAAGCAACACTGACCCCAATGAGAGAGTTGTAGATAACTTGGAAAAGGTGGAAGAAGGGATTTCCTTCGAAAACAAATCTGGAAGCCATGAAAAAGCTTCAAATGACCTGAACAAGGTAGAAGAAGGAATCTCCACCAAAAGCAGTAGTGGAATCCATGAAAAAGCTGCAAATGGCTTGAACCAGATGGATATGTTGGAGGAGAATCAAAGCATGAATCATGAAGAGATGTCAAAGAGTCTTGAAGGTTCTGTGCTGGTTCCGGGTTTGGCTTATAACCATCTATCGGAGCCGGAGAAAAGTGTCGAATGCAACCTGTTGCAGGTATGTATTTAATTTGATGAGGCTGTTGTTTTAAATTGTAGGTACATTTTCTTACATGCCTCACAAATTTATATACATATCTTTGCTTTTTTACATTTATATGATTCAAATCTTTCATATCACATCAAAATTACAATTATTTTAACTTTTAAAAAGTGAAACAGACATTCTCATGCACAAGTAGGGTGCCATTTATGTAAAAATTGAAGTTCAGGTGTTAGATATGTAAATACATGAGTATTGAGTGGTATGTATGAATCTGAATCGTTTCCTAAATTGTAATGATGCTTCTTATGTGTGTTGAAGTGGTCATTTCCCTTTTGCCAACCTACTAATGGGGATTTTCTTGAGTTCAACTCCCTTCTTACTATTTCTGAATGTTGAATTATAGTTTGTCCATGAGTCACAGCCAAGGAATAGAGCATGAATACAGAGAGAGAGAGAGAGTAACAGAAAAAGATAAAGAGAAAATGAACAGTAATCCGCCTTTTCTTATTCATAAAATGATTCTCTTATTTATAGAGGAAATAGTATAATGATGATATTACATTTTTTGCTTTGTTTATTTTTGGTATTTCACATCTATGAGCTTATCGCCTGGTTGCTTTCTAATCCAGTAGGCTAAGTTTTACCTAGCTTCAGTCGCAGGATCGGCTCGGTTGGTTGAGCTTGGTCGGCATGGGTCAATCAACTAATCTAGTCTGGCCTTTATCCGTAGTGAGGAGGAGCATTTGAGAGTCCCTAGGATGGTTAGAGACATTGCAGAGTTGGCCCTTTCCTTGATTCGGCTCTACTGGATGGTAGGCCATCATATCAGATCGACTTTCTAGTAACAGTTGTCTCGAATGCTTATTTGTCTCATTTCTGACTGAATGGTTCGTGCTTGGATCATTCAATCATCTCTTGTCCGTCTTGTGGTTCTTTTGGTTTTGGTCTTGTCGGCTTGGCTTGTATGACTTTGCTCAGCTGATCAAGTGGGCCTCATGATCTCCTGACATTAGGTCAACCTTCATTGTACTCTTCCCTTTTGGTTAATTGAATCTCTTTAAGATCAATGCTAACTCCTAACACATTTTTGACATACACCAATTAATTTTGATTTATAGTTTCATTCCCTCAAGTCAAAAACTTTAAATTATGTATCTGTTTACCTACATATGAAGAAGATCCGTTATTGCAAAGTACAAAATTAAGAAGTTATGAGGATCACATAGCCGGGTTTAGAAGCTGATAGTATGATACAACAAAATTTGTAATTACCCTTTGCTTTTCCTCTATGCTATTACTTACGGTTATATAATACTGTGTCTAGAGATTCATTGCCGATCCTAACAATTCCTTGTTCTTCTTGCTTCTTGGAAAAGCATGGAGAACTGGAGTTGCCAACAGAAAACCTGCTGGAGAAAGAAAATGCGAGTTCCTTGGAGATACAAAATGGTGATGGTGGTGTTGACGATAATAATGACAATGACGACGATGATGATGATAATGGGATGGCAAAATCTGATGATGTTTTGGCTGAAGAAAATTCTCAAGAAAAATTTTCAAAATATTTATCAACAAAGAGCATTTTGCAGTGGATGCAGAAGTTTTTTTCAGGTCTGGGTTTTGGCACCAGATCACCTCTTAGGTAATGGTTGCTTTGTGCGCATGCATAAACTATAAGCCTTTCGTAATTGTTTTCAGTACATAATTTCTTATTATTTGTGCCTTTTTTTCTTAAGTTCTGCAGCATGTACATGTAGGCTACAGAGCTCTAGAAATGTAACTTGGACATCATGATTTTTTATAATTATGCAGAAGATATATTTTATTATTATGTATAAATTGGAGTCAAGCGTGATGAAAGTGTTCGCTGGACGATGGAGCTGACATTGGCAGATCAGTTGCTATAATTTAGACAGGCAAGTTATTATGTTGGGCGAAATTCTGAAATCTCTGTAGTTCTTATAAATATATGTAAAACAAAAAATGAAAATTAAATTTGGAATATTTTTAATGAAGATGTGCATACAAACCACTCAATATCCATGCATTTACATGTCTTAACGCCCATACTTCAATTTTTTACATATATATGCCACCTTACCTATGCATGAACATAATTCTCTCTTTTTATAAGATAAAATGATAGTTTTTTTTTAAGTTGTATGAAAGATTTAGATGATATAATTGTAAAAAAAAAGAGTAAAAGTTAGGTGTTAGATGTAAATATATAAGAATTGGGGATATATGTTTAAATATATTTGTTTATAATATATCATACTTAAAATATCTCTCAGAATTACTGGGTTTCATTGTTTCTACTTTTTAGGATAAAGATTTTAAATTTGAATCGGATATGTGATAATTTAAATTATTTTGTGTAAATATGTAGCTGAAAAATTTGTTGATTAAAAATAATCTGCTGATAAGTTAAGTGCGGTGACTATTACAAATTTTTATTTTTCGAAAAAGCCAGACTGTTGTCATTAAGCTGCCACCGCACCTAGAAAAATGCGGTGTGAAAACGCTGTTTTTTAAGTTTTGAAATACATAAGCTGTCAAAATGCAGTTTATCCAAACAGGTCAGATGCATTTACAAAACGCTACCGCACCAAATAAGCTGCTCCAAACGGGCCCTGAGTTTATGCTCAATTTATAGTCAATAATTTTTCTTATGTGCGTTGAAGTGATCATTTCCCTTTTGCCAACCTACTGATGGGGATTTCCTTGAGTTGAACTCTTTTAACAATCCAATTGATCCAGGGGAAATAACTGTAGCCTTCTTTTTGTTTTTGAATGTCAAACTATGATTTGTCCGTGAGTCACACCCAAGGAATAGAGCATGAATAAGGAGAGATAGAGAGTGATAGAAAGAGACAGAGAGAAAATGAATAGTAATCCGTCATGTCTTATTCATAAAAAGATTCTCCTATTTATATAGGAAATATTATAACGATGATAATACATTTTTGCCCTTGCTTAATTTTGGTATTTCACATGTATGAGCTCGGTTGGTTGAGCTTGGTCGGCATGGATCAGTCAGCTAATCTAGTTTGGCTATCCACCCTTCATCCCTAGTGAGGAGCCTTTAGGAGTCCCTGAGATAGTTAGAGACACTGTGGAATTGGATCTTTCCTTGGATCGGCTCTACTAGATAGTAGGCCATCACATCGGATCGGCTTTCTAGTAATGGCTGGCTCGAATTACTCTTCCCTTCTGGGCAATTGAATATCTTTGAGATCAATGCTAACTGCCAACACATTTTTGATATACACCAAATAATTTTGATTTATAGTTTCATTACCTGAAATCAAAATCTTTAAATTATGTGTCTGTTTACCTACATATGAAGAAGATCAGTTCTTGCAGAGTACAAAATTAAGAAGTTATGAGAATCACATAGCCGGCGTTAGAAGCTGATAGGATGATACAACAAAATTTGTAATTGCCCTTTGCTTTTCCTCTAAGCTATTACTTATGGTTATATAATACTGTGCCTAAAGATTCATTGCTGATCCTAACAAATATATTGTTCTTCTTGCTTCTTGGAAAAGCATGGAGAACTGGAGTTGCCAACAGAAAACCTGTTGGAGAAAGAAAATGCGAGTTCCTTACAGATTCAAAATGGTGATGGTGGTGGTGACGATAGTGACGACGACGACAATGGTGATGAGATGGCAAAATCTGATGATGTTTTGGCTGAAGAAAATTCTCAAGAAAAATTTTCAAAATATTTATCAACAAAGAGCATTTTGCAGTGGATGCAGAAGTTTTTTTCAGGTCTGGGTTTTGGCACCAGATCACCTCTTAGGTAATGGTTGCTTTGTGCGCATGCATAAACTATAAGCCTTTCGAAATTGTTTTCAGTACATAATTTCTTATTATTTGTGCCTTTTTTTAAGTTCTGCAGCATGTACATATAGGCTACAGAGCTCTAGAAATGTAACTTGGACATCATGATTTTTTATAATTATGCAGAAGAAATATATTATTATTAATAGTTTAGACAGGCAAGTTATTATGTTGAGCGAAATTCTGAAATCTCTGTAATTTTTATAAATAAATGTAAAACTAAAAATGAAAATTAAATTTGGGATATTTTTTTATGAAGATGTACATACAAACCACTCAATATCCATGCATTTACATGTCTTAACGCCCATACTTCAATTTTTTACATATATATGCCACCTTACCTATGCATGAACATAATATGATAGTTTTTTTATAAGATAAAATGATAGTTTTTTTTTTATGTTGTATGAAAGATTTAGATGATATAATTGTTAAAAAAAGAGTAAAAGTTAGGTTTTAGATGTAAATATATGAAAATTGGGGATATATGTGTAAATATATTTGTTTATAATATATGATACTTAAATATCTCTCAGAATTACTGGGTTTCATTGTTTCTACTTATTAGGATAAAGATTTTAAATTTGAATCCGATATGTGACAATTTAAATTATTTTTTGTGTAAATATTTAATTGAGAGTCTCTTTGGGGCAGTTGTAGCTTATTGAATAATCTGTTGATAAGTTGATTAAAAATAATCTGCTGATAAGCTAGGTGCGGTCGTCATTATAAATTTTTATTTTTTTCAGAAAAATCAAACCGTTGTCAATAAGCTGCCACTGTGGTGTGAAAATGCTATTTTTTGAGTTTTGAAAACGCATAAGCTGCCAAAACGTAATTATCCAAACATATCAGATGTGTTTTCAAAATGCCACCGCATTAAATAAGCTGCCCCAAACAGGCCCTGAGTTTATGCTCAATTTATAGTCAATAATTATCCGAATGTATATGATAAGAAATGAAGACTTTTCTTTTCTTTTCTTTCCGGCCTCATATAGAATTCGAATTTAAAATAATAATAATAGTTTTTTGAAACCATTATAACGAAGCCAGTAGTCTGCATGATCTATATAATTTAGACATCGACATGCATGAACAGAAGTCAAATAGAGGGATAAAATGCAGGTTTTATGTGGATTGGATCACTTGCACATGTACAAATTTATGAAAAGTTTATAGTAATTTTAATCTAAATTATTGGTTTGTTGTAACAAAACAATTATTTAAACAAATAGCTGTTTTGTCGCAATTAATGATGCATGCCACTTAAATAATTGGAAGCAGTTAAAACCAAAGTTCTGAAAAGCCAAACGTATGCTGTTTCATTTTGTCTATTCCTTCTGTGACCACATCTGTGATACATTATTTCTCAATCAGGAGGCAAAGGAAGCAGTGAAAACCAAAGTTCTGAAAAGCCAAACTTATACTGTTTCATTTTGTCTATTCCTTCTGTGACCATCTGTGATACATTATTTCTCAATCAGGAGGCAAAATATTGTTATTTACAAAACTAGCACCCTTGTATTTTTTTTTTTTTTTTTGAACAACACTATCGATAAATTTATGTGTCGACGTCAAACCATTGAAATTTTGATAAAAATAAAAATTATCAGTTAGGGTTTTATCTTGAATTTTGATATTTGTGTGAGAATTTAAAAAGTCGATGAAAAAGGGGGCTATATTTGTGAATAGCAATATTTCAAGTTTATGAATATAATTGCCCCAAAATAGTAACAACACAAGTACTTAACAGCATAAAATAATACAATTAACACATATTCAATGATTACCTTGTACCAATCAACGAAAAACATAAAGAACACAACTTCAGAAATTACACTGAAACGCAGGTATGTATGCATTCATAACCAGAAACATAGCAAAAAACTGCAAAATACACATCTGGCAATAAGGCGTTATGTTTACAATGATTCCATAAAAGGCATACACTAACATTCATTTAACAAACTAGCATGCAAATGGCAGATTGAATAAAAAAAAACAATGAAAATAATCAGCTAACATACAATGTTGAACAAAGCTCAAGGACCTTGCTCTCATGGCCAAGAAAAGGGGAACATACCAGACAGCTGCTCTCTCTGCTGCTAGTTTCCATCTAAGCAACGCCATTACAAGATTCTAAACAACGTTGAAATTTAAGGAAGAAAGAAAACTGAAGGTTATCTTGCCAGAAAAAATGAAGGTGAAGTCCTCTCACATTTCTCACTGAAAATCTCATTTTGAATTTCATTTCCATCGTGACAGAACACGTTGTTATTGACACTCTGTTCTGAGCTTGCATTGCTGCTTGTAGCAATAGGAGAGTCAGAGACACTAACTGTTCTACTTATCGTTAATCCTGATCTCACACTGTACAAAGATGAAGCTGGAACGTTGCTCATCAAAGGTCGCAGAGTATTAGGAATGCTCCGTCTTATATCCTGTGTTGCAGAAAAATATCATCAATTTATATAGCAATTTTATGCAAATATTGTCATAGAACTTGCTTATAAAATTAAAAAAAAGGTCAAAATGGTCCTTTGGCTGTTTATAAGGGGTGGGTCATTTTAGTCCCGCAGTCTATATCAATTTAGTCCCATACCTTTTTAATGGGAGCTAAAATAGTCGCTCCTTGAGGACTAGTTCAGTCTATAATAAAATAGATTGGGGATTAATTTGACAATTTTATAGACTCTGTGACTAAAATGATCCCAGGTAAATAGGGACTATTTTTGCACTTTACGCCTTTTAGAATGGAAAGAAAGAGAACAATCACATTACCATATGCCTCATAGCCATATCAAGTGATTTTTTTGACAATGTTCTCCCAAAGCCAGTGCTATCTGGTGACAGGGAGGATTTCCCTGAAGAATGTGGTTCATCATGCTTGGGAGGCGCTAGTCTCCTCGAATTTACCACTCTTTCAACCATTTTAGTTCCTATGACAACCGGGCTCTCGTTGTCACAGCCATTCATTCTGTACCTGCTTGATGCAGGAACAGAGCTACCGCTCACAGCATTCCCTTTAGGGACCCTCCCTCTACATGGCGAGGAGGACTGCCTCCTAGGCCTTGCAATGGGTCCATTATCAACAGAAGGTGACCTGGAGCTAGGTGCGCCAGGTCTGCCCCTCGAAGGAGAAGACCTCTCAGGCATTGTGGTCCTCAGATTAGGAGGTGCATCAAATGAAAACCCGGGCATTTCAGATGGTTTCCAAGGTGCTGGTCTCACTGTTGGAGAGTTTCCTCGTGATGGAGCTACAGTTTTTGATGAGTTTGGGCCTGATTTCAGTATAGAACTGGCTGGCAGAACTGATCTTGCGATAGAATTGGTGGGACCTAACCTGCCAATTGAACTAGTTGCAGGGCCAGATGTCATAGAACTGGTTGCAGTGCCTAATTTTATGATGGAAGAAGAACGATTAACAGGAGCTGAAGAAGCATGTAGGCTAGATGGGATGGATGACCGCCTAATTGGAGTATCAGACCTTGATGCAGGCTTGTTGGCTGATGGTATGGAAGACCTGGTGAGTGTAGAAGATCGACCTGGGGTGGATGGTCTTGGTTGGGAGACCACTGATTTTGAGGGTAATGTAGAACGGGAAGTGGGAGTTGAAGATCTGGGTATTTTCCCAACAGTTGGGCGTCCATTTAGGGTTGCAGGCCTGGAAGCAGAGCCTACAGATGAGGATGGCCTTCCCATTCCAGAGAATGAAGAGTTTAAACTAACAGAGGGGGCCATCTGTCTGGATGGTGCTATAGTTTTTGAAGAATGATCTGCGGGATTAGCTAACTGCGATAACAGTAATGAGAATTGCATTAGCACTCAAGAGGATTCAGAAACAATGTAATGTACTTGGTTCCAAAGGTAAATGAACTCGAAATGCAAGACATCAATATTATCAAACATTCAATCCCAAAAAAATTTCAACTTTGATACTAGTTATTAGAGAATATAAATCAAATGAGGACCAAATTTAGGCTTTATGTACCAATGATCAAATCCATTTTCAACCTAAAAGTTAAAGCCTATGAATGAGAATTAATCAATCAAGTACTAGGAATGCCTGTACTAACAGATTTTTCAACTATCTAATGTAAATCTCAAGTGCCTTAGTAGAGTCTTGTTCCATGGAAACTTCTCAAGCATGCAAATCTTACTAGTGGTTCATACATTTCTAAGATTTGCTTGCATCCTGAGTTTTAGAGCTTGTTAGGAATAAATATTATTTTTTATTTTTATTTTTATTTTTCTTTTGTGTTTACGTTTGTTTAGTATTTTTTTTATATATTTCTATTTTTTTATTTATAATAACAAATTAATATGTTTTTGAAAACACACAATAATTTTTAAGTGTTTTGAGTGTCTTTAAAAAGAATCATATTTTAATCAAATAATCAAACATATTTTGTTTCAAATCAAAACATAAATAAAACGAAATAAAAATAAAATAAAAATAAAAGTGATCCCAAATAGCTCAAGAGTTACTCATTGTTAAATATTGATGCCAAGATTGGGAGTGAGTTGTCCTTTTAGGAGCTTACTTCCCGGCTTTCAACCAGCACTTTATAGACATTTCTTTGTAAGCCTTTTAATGCAAAGAATGAACAAAAATTATAATTAAGATCATATTTATAGATAACTTCCTAGAGTCTTTAAGAAATAAGCAAAAGTGTTTGTTGGATTGCTATATCATATGTTCCTGATGCTGCCATAATGATACAGCATGAGATCTCTACTTAGCACTTCCAATATTAGTTTTGCATCATTATTTTTATCAATTTACTCGTGCTAACTCTATAACTTTATCATCCATCATATTAGGATAGATTTATTAGTTTCAGGTTTATATTCTATATGTGAGGACACAAATATAAAAAAATACTCAATAGAATTTAATTACCAATTTGATGACTAATTGAAGCAAATTTCTCCCTCGGAAGTTTTAGCCGGCCCATGGGGTGTTGAGATGTATAAACTCTCTCTCTCTACCCATGCAAATCCCCTCTAATCTAACTCCTGAAAGCTTTATTTCCATATTTCCCTGCTTTTTCAGTTAAAAAAATATATTTAACCACACTGAAATTCTTTTTCATGCGATCACCCATGCAATAGGTATCAGACCACCATCACTGTCTTAATTTGGTGTCAGCATCACTCTCCATTATAACCTCATCATTTTTCTTTGACAAATATTCCTTTGTCATCATATCATTAATAGGCCAACTAGAACAACACTACAAAAATCTAACCCAACTAATCTGTTGAGAAATAACAGCAATTCCTCATGCTTGGAGGATACCAAGCTCTTTTTGAAGTCACTTGAGGATGGAGAAGGCAACAGTCAAGTTACCTTCATCATTACAATATCTGGAAAATAGTAAGTCTTGTCAGAGGCAACACTGAAAATTCAAGTAGTTCGTTAGCACCTATATTTCAGAAACAACAACACGGAGTAGAAAAGATCAAATCAGTTTGAAAAGATTAAATGAATTTCCTCAACTAAACCGAATTCATTAATAAAGTCAGGGAATGTGCATAAATTCTAGTTATAGTTGGTTGGCTGAAATAAAATAACCACACGGCAGCCAAAATTGTGTTTTTCTTACCCAAACCCAACTTGAAGATAGAATTGGTTAGGTCAGGCCAATTTAAAACTTAAAGTGAAAATGTTATCAATGCATGATATAAAATTAAGACAGGCCTATTAGGTCGCGCGTGGATAAATTGATTTATAGAGTAAACTCCATTTAGCATGGAAAGATGAGAAAAATGTAGAAAATAATAAATTGGAGCAATACCCAATAGACAAGGCTTTCCATGTCATAGAATTTACAAATATCTGAGATCTATAACTTGGGCTTGCATAGGTTGTTAAACTACCATCTCTGAATAATTTACTCAACTAAAATAGAGATTGAGCTTAAACCCACACAAAACTTGAAAATTCCTCTTTTGAGGTTTTTTCTCAAATTATTCAAATTCATTTAGGGTTTAACATTTATAAAATTGTGATTTAATGTCAGAAAATTAAAAAAAACAACAATTTCCATAATTTTAGTGTAGAAAACTAAGGGAATTAAACTGCTAAAGTTCAAAAGCAAGATATATCATAAAAATTACAGCAAACTTGAGTGAATCTGAAAAGTATGTTCCACCTTAAGTTTATTTAGTATGTCGTAAGCTAGGAAACAAGGAGCCAATCAAAATCACATAGAAGTAAAATACGAGCATCGCATAGCTCTATCATCCTTCTTACCCTAGAGTTTATCAGAGTGGGATAACCTTTTGGAGTATCATTATACCCTACAGGAGATCTGTGAGACTCCTGCAGACATGGAAAAAGTGGAGTGCCTGGCGGTGTGAGAAGCCTGTAAAGCAATGGCATAAAAAATTAATCAAAGTCCAATCAACTAATTATTCATTACCATTTAAAAATGTTGATCCCAATGGTTCACAATATCAATTTACCCACGCTAAAGCATAATATCAGACCTGACAACAAAGCAAAAATATTGAAAACTGTGTAAATTACTGATTAGTACACCATTTAATCAGGTAAAAAGTATCCATCATAAAAGAAAAACTATTATCATATCAAAAACTAGCTCTTCGGAAAATACACTTGACATGGGAACAACTGGTAGGCCCTTCTACCTAATTACTTTAAAATAGGAAGATTTTTATACATACCACTCAAGTCCTAGGTATTTACTTACCTAAAACGTAAACTTCAAATTTTACATACAAGACACCTTACTTATGCATGAAAAGATATATTTCGCCTTTTAAAAGTTCGAATGTTTGTACGTTCAATGTGATATGAAAGATTTGGATGGTACAAATGCAAAAAGGTAAAATTTAGGTTTTAGATAAGTAAATATACAGGAATTGGGTGGTATGCATGTAAATGTCCCCTTTAAAATAATCCAGCTTAACGAAAAGTGACTTTCACGTCCCTTTTACTTTTCATTTACTATGGCTCTGTTTAAAGGCAGACCTAAAAGAGATGAGGCTGATGTACTTGCTTCCCGAATGAAAGTTAAAAGCATATTAGGTCCCGGTAGATTAACAAAAGCCATGATATGCTAGATGGAAGCCAAATTTCTGCAAATAATTAATCTGAAACATTAACAAGATGATTTGATTAGTGCAAACAATGGCATGATTTCTACAAAATAAAAGTTCGGTTTTCACATGTAAAAAAGCTCCAGAATACCATTGCACACAACAACAACAACAAGAAGGAAGATGCTATTTTTTTGGGGGTTTTAAAACAACTTTTTGGGATTGGTTAAAGGTACTATTCCATCCAAAAGAAATATATTAAAAGGACTACAAAAAATAATAAAAATGGCAAAGTAGCAATGCAAACGACAAAGTAACATAAACAACAAAATGGTAATGATATGAAGAGATGGGCATAAGATACAGTAGCAGAGAGAGAGGAAAGCAAAATCCAAATAATTAAAGTTGGATTAGCAAACCATTTTCGCAACGTAATTATTCGCACAGAGAAACCATAAAATGCAATGATCACTCAAAATAGAAACTTTCGCAGAATTACCAGTCATAATCGCTCTTCTCACAGTCCGAGTTCAGAAATTCATCAACTGTCGTTCTGCGCACAGTAGACTGTAGCATTTTGAAAATTGGAGAGCCCCCAGGCACAGACTCTGCAACCAATATTCCCATTTTTTTATAGAAAATCATTTTCGTAGTAACATTGGACAGTTTTGAAACTTATCAATTGAAATATTTGAGAAAACATACCCATTGACGGGTCAAGTTCGTCCGATTTCTGGAGAAGAAGGTTGATCTTTTCCTTCTCTCGTTTCCGCATCTCAGTGAACAGGGTGAGCTCCTCTTCTCTATCCTTGACTACCCTTCCCACAATCCCCCGCGGCTCCGGTGCCCTAAAATTTCGCTCCATTTACCGCTCCACCACTCCAAGCTACAATCCGCAACGATAACTTATTCGTTAACACCAAAACACCCAAGATCCGGACCTCGGCCTCAAAATCAGCTGGGTGGAAACCGCATTTAACATTTTGCTACCGATCAAAGGTATAAAGAACAGAGCACAAAGCTCAACGCAGAAAGACCGCCATAACAACCGAGCTCTTACCTCTATCCACCTTTTTCTTCAAGAGAAACTGCCATTAGGGTTACTGGAAGAGCACCAAGTAGGTATGCACTCGAGGAGAGCGGGAGAGCGGGAGAGCGGGAGCCAGGAAGGTGACGAAAGGCATTCGGCGTTAATTTGCCTGCATCGTGCTCTCCAGTCTCAACTTTGAAACCTGGGCGAGGAAATGAAGTGAATTGGTAAGCTGCTGTAAAACCGGAAATCGCGCCCATCTAGCTTGCTTCTAGCCAGTATTTTTTCTTTTGAATAAAAATTCAATCTTTTTAAAATATTTTCATATATGCCACTTTTAATTCTTAATAGTCGTGATGCGGCTGAAATGTGAATAGCAGCAGATTCGACGTGCAGAATAATATTTATAGATTATAAAAAAAATTTGGCAGTAAAGCTACTAAAATTTATAATCAATTAAAATTATTAATTTAAAAATAAAATAAAATATATTAAATTTTATTTAAATGAATAATTTCATAGAAAGAGTAAGATTTAAATATTGCTCTTACTATTTTTAACATCCTAAATATTGCTCTTACTATTTTTAACATCCTAAATATTGCTCTTACTATTTTTAACATCCTAAATATTATTTCATAGAAAGAGTAAGATTTAAATATTGCTCTTACTATTTTTAACATCCTACAACTAAGTGACTTGGCTTGTCAGAAGGGCTTGTTCGCAACAGCTCATGTTCAAACGAGTCGAATACGAATATTTTTTTTGCACTCGATATATTAAAGAATCGAGCATGAACAACGGTATTTTTTAACGAGTCAAACACGAGCAGAGTTTGGGCTCACTCTAACTCGGCTCGTTTACACCCCTACCTTTAAATCAGTTGTTCATCAAAAATTAAATATTAAGACAGGTTTAATTATTTTAGTTGACCCCACAAGGACACAAAGGATCAACAGGGTCAACCAGGTTAAACTGATTGAATGTGAGTTAATATTAGGTTCATGTGCTCATAGGATGGATCCTAAGGTTGTGGATTGAGTGTTAGGCTCCCAAGGTTCATGGATCAACTAACTAGGTCATCCAAAATATTCTTGCTCCGAAGTGAGTCAATATTAGGTCCAAAGTCTTGTAGAAGGGCTCCTAATGACAAGTTTGACTTGCTTCAATCTTGTCATTGATCTAGTTGTTGTTAACTTTACTTCATCTATATAAGCTGAGAACCAATTTGAGTTCATCTTGAGCCATTAGGATAGTCTAATAAGAAACTTGTAAGGGCGCTTATCTACTAAGATTGGATCTTATAGACTGAAAAATGTATCGTCTCATTTAAAAAAAGGTCAACAAGCTTCAAGATCTTGACATCTTCGAACACATATAGTATATACAACTCATCATATTCACTCATCCATTCTTATTGGAGATTGTATTCTTAACCACTTCCAACCCTACACTAAACCCCTAAACACTTAGCAACCCTCCCTTTATCAAATATAGTGTAGGATTCAGCAGGCTCAACCATCTCTTAAAAGCCCTTTAAATCTCTTAACAATAACTCATTTACATCTTATTGGAGAAGGGTCTTGCTACACAATCTTAATAATTAAGAAAAAAAACTTTCCCGAGATGACATATTATTTCTCCGCTTGCTAACTTAAGGTGACATGTTATCTCACCTTAAAAGAGCAGGTCATAAATCATCCATTTAATACCAAAATGGCATATTATTTTTCCATAAGAAACCCTATCATTATGATAATGATATCCTAAAATGGTCCACAATCCTACTTTGAGATGGTCTAACACCTATTGAGTCACTCTAAAATGACCTATCATCTCACCTTGAAATCATAGGTTATCGTCTTATTGACTTGAGATAGTCAAATATAATCTCATTTCAAGATGACTTATTGGCTCACCTGGAGATAGCTATTCTTGAGGTAATGCTCATGAAGTGCCATTATATAACCCTAAGACGTCATGTTGTCATTCTTCTCAAAATGACCTCTTATTTTGTCATGAATGACATGTATCCATCTCATCCTTACACAACCCATCATCATGGTTGATCATCATCTAATCTTAAGATAACATAGTATATCACATATATCACCTTGATGCGACATATCATCCAGCCTTAACTTGACAACCACTGCCTCATCACAAGACTACCAATTATCTCCTCCTGAGACGACATGCCACTATCTCATCCCAAGATGGCTTGCCATCTTTATGCAAAATGACCTATCATCTAGCCTTGTGATGATCCATTGTCGTCTAATCTTGAGATAATCTATAGCATTAACTTTAAATAGAGGAGACACTTTATCTTCAATTCGTACTATACAAACTCATGATTGGAAGATAATTTGTTCCTTTTGTCATCAAAAGATCAACTCATCTTTAAGAATGGTGTTGATCCATTTTACTCTTAATAGCCAAATGAATACCGAGATGAAGCCTATAAGCGTTGAAATTATTTTAGTTGAAGATCCAAATCCTATCATTAAAATTGTTTTGATGGTCGTAAAATTAGTGTTAAAAATAATTTGAATTTGAGCTTCAAAATTAATGTTGATTCTCATAGCCTTAGATGAAGAGCTACCATAATCTTAATGTAATTTGATGGTGCAAATTTAGCCTTATTGTTATGTTCTACCAATGAAATTATTATCAAAATATGAATAGTGATCTTTTTTCTAATTAATTGGTCATTTTAATTTTAATTGGAAGTAATGCTTTTAGAGGGCATAGAATAAATGGATCAAGATAAAATAATACATGATCTTGCCTTCTATGAGATTGTTATGGTTATATTAAACTAAGATACTTTAAACAAAAATATATTTGACAAATTTAAGCCAATTGTTTATGTTAGTGATTAATAAGTATAGATTCAAAAAAATATATACAATGGTGGTTATAGAGATTAAAAAATAAAATTCTTAGGGTTATTTGTATAGTAGCCCAAACTATTTTGTATGATTGATGTAACTTCCTAAAAGGTCACCCATCCTATGAGTGCTTCTGTATGAGAGCTTAAATTTGGAGTTTCAAATGGAATTACCAACCACTAAACCAAAAAGTACTTTGATATTTAAGAGTTCAACCTTATTTTTTATTATATGTAATTGACATTCTCATCAATATTTTCATGCATAAATATTTCAAGAGAGCCCCAACATATTCAAGAGATAACTCACAATGTGTAACACTTTATCCCATCCATAAATTAAGAGGAGACTCCGATGATATAATACTTTATTATGTGTAATACTTATTTCTCACTTCTACAAACTAATGCAACACTATGACACAATTTGCAACAACCCAAATTACTACCAAACTACACACTGTCATGATTATATCAAATTAGTCCAACTCATAAAATCACGCACTCTGAGAATACTCTCATACAAGCATGCTTAACTTACGAGTTTATGATGAACTTCCAACCATCACACCAATCATTAAACAATTCTTAAGTATATTTGTGAAATAGCCCAAATTATTAACCATTGATGTTCAAAAATTGTTATATTTATTAACATTAAATTAAGTAGAAAATTTTACATACATACCCACAAAGTTATCATGTAAAAACATGTCCAACATCTAAAGTCTTATATTTATCATTATACACTAGTGTACAAGAAAGTGTATTTAACTTTTAAAAAATTAATAATTGTGATATTTTTTATATAATATTAAAAAATTATATGTTATGTATGCACATATGAATGTATAGGTTTTAGACAAATAAATAAAAATTGTGTGGTATCCAAGTAAATGCAACTAAATATTAGAGCATTATAAATGTGATCGATACTTGTACTTCCCATTCAAGTATTATGAAACATATTTTTTATATTTTGCATAAACATATGAACCAATATTAGCGAATACACATGAAAATAAGAAATTGCTGAATTATATTAAAAATAAAGAGACGAACGCATAAATGAATTTATTTAGCTTTGTAAGAAAAAGAAAAAATCCTTTAGGAGAAACCGCAAGCAATTCATGAGAACAATTGACCACACGGTTCCAAAACAGTAATTATGAACAAATGAAAAATCATTAAAGTTTGGTATGCTATTAAGAGGCAAGTTCAAACTTTTTAGTTGAAGATTTAGGGTGTGTTTTACGCGACGGTGCGGTGCCAGTCCAATATCATGCCGTAATTTTTTTTATTTGGCAAAATAGTGTTTTGTCTATATTCTTAAAAAAAACTGCAGCTGAAAGCTACATTTTTCCACCGGAGATATGACTAATTACAGTGAGTGCTAGTGGTGATATTTTTTGATATGACTGCTTACAGTGAGTGCTAGTGGTCATATTTTTCAAAAAAAAAAAAAAAAAATCTCAAAATTGCTTGATTAAACAATTACAGCGGCCCTTCGAGCGATTATTGCGTGCGGATAGCTCACACAGAGATGCGCGCGTGCGCTCTCCGATCACAGCCGCACATCTCCGATCACAGCCGCCAACTGTCATCAGCTGCGATGCGCGGCTGTGATTCGTGCGCTTTCCACACGTAATAATTAGATCACAAACAGATCCTTAGGAAAATACCTAAATTATGAAAATTTTCTCAATTTTTGGAAGGCTATAAAAGAGAAATAGTACATTAGAAAGGTGTTCTAACGCTGGAATGAGCAGGAATAAACAAAAAAAACAAAGGTGAATGCACAAAAAGCCAAAAGCTTTAATAACAAAGCTGGTACAAGTACCAAAAAGAGAATAATAAGCAATGGAAAAGAAGAAAAGAAAGGAAGAAAGAGCTGTGCTGCATAAGAGTGTTGAGTGAGGGGCGTCCATAGTTGACCGAGACTAAGGGTCTGTTTGGCGCAGCTGTGGATTATCAATGGAAAAGAAAGGAAGAAAAAGCTGTGCTGCATGAGTGTGTTGAGTGAGGGGCGTCAATAGTTGACCGAGACTAAAAAAATCTTAATTAGGGTTACCTGAATAATTTTTTAGTTAAAAATCCAATCCCTTTAATTTTTTGGGTCAGATTGCACCTGAAATTAACTAGAAATCAACCCAACAACTCAAAATTGACCCGAAATTAACTCAAAATTCACCTTAATTTAACTTGAATAGCTAGGCGGGTCCAGGTTGGACTTTCTACCCTATCCAATATTAAGATCGGGTCAAGTCAAAAAGTTTCAAGTCAGACAATTTCAGGTCGGACAAAAACTCATCGGCGAACACAATCAAACACCCTTAGTGTTGGCTTTAAAATAGAAAATACAACTAAAAAAAAACATTAGTATAAATATCTAATAGTGTTATAAAGGATATAAAACAGAATAATAATCTTAGAAATTCAGGGAAGTAACATTCCTTAAAATTACATCGCTTTTCTGTGAGATCGATACTGAGGTTTTTAAAAGAAAACTCTATATTAGCTGAAACAATACGTATACTTAAAAAAAACGTAACCATAACAAAAAAAAAAATGGATAAAACCTCTCATGAGAGGGATAGGGCTCAATTAATAGTATTTTAGGTGCAATTAATGCCGGAATATGAATCATTTTGATCGGACGATCCGGAGAGATGTTATCATAAGAGATGCTCTCATGAGAATTGATGTTCTAATGAGAGATGCTCTCATGAGAATTGACTTGGAAAATAGAAGGCAAAAAGAAGAGAACAGACAGATATTGAAAAACAGACTTCCATGAAATAACTCTAGCAATGCGTAGTACCCCTTCTTGGTGGTCTATATGTTAAAAGAAAGAAAACGTAACTATAACAAAAAAAAAAAAAAAAGATAAAACCTCTCGTGAGAGGAATGGGGCTCTATTTATAGTATTTTGGGTGCAATTAATATCGGAATATGAATCATTTTGATCGGACGATCCGGAAAGATGTTCTAATGAGAGATGCTCTCATGAGAATTGACTTGGAAAATAGAAGGCAAAAAGAAGAGAACAGACAGATATTGAAAAACAGACTTCCATGAAATAACTCTAGCAATAAATTGAGAATAAGAATTTATACACCAACCTCAAAATGCTGATTTTGCACAGATTTAATTGGCTTAAATTTCAGTTTTATTTGAAAGCATCAATTATCACCATCTTGATTGTCTGCTGAGTTGACTCTGGAATTTTATGAGTTTTCCTTTTCAAAACTTTTTTGGAATTTTATGCATTGAAAATGGAGCTTCATGAATCAGCAATACAAACAACTTGGCTTTTAAGAAATGGGGCAATTACATACATACCACCAGAAACTTGCTATTTATAAATCAACCGTCTTCTTTCATCCATTTTTCAAATTCTCACTGAAATATCAAAGTTCATGGTAAAACACAACCCATATTTTTCATTTTATCAAATTCTCAATAGGTTGATCATGGCATGCGTTGATAATTCGGTTCAGTAGTTCTAAAAAAAAATCATCTTGGTGGTTAGTTTGTAAATATCAATATTTTGGGGGGTCTGTATGTAATTATCCCTAAATGCAAGTACAAGGGGTTGACCACCAGGCACATCATGACTGACAAATAATAATAATAATAATAATAATAATAATAAAAGGATCGGTAAGCAAACACATTGTCTACAGGCCCTGCACAACTTTTTATCATAAAATGAGATAGAATTAAAGTGCTAAAAAAAGGAATAATTTCCATCAACATGCATAAGATACAACCGTTTTAAAGATAAATTCCTCAATGCAACGGTCCAGGCACAGAAGAACGCATCAGCAAATTTTCTTCAAGTCTTTAAATATGTTTAAACTATGTAAAGATACAATTCACACAAAGCTCAAAACAATTCAAGCCAATGTGCAGAAATATGAAGGAATGCAGCAGAAATGACGAGGCAACAATTTAAGAGGATAAATAGTTACTTCTCATTACTTTCTTCAGTATTTTGCTCATATCGGCGCTTGAATTTTGCAATCTGGCCAACACTCTCAGCTATTTGACGCTTTGCTTTTAAATGATGAACTTTGCCAACATGATTCAATTTTGTCATCAGAATGTGCATCAATCTTCCACTCTGCGTCACATAAGAAATAAACTGCAGCTGAGGATGCAAACCCTTCTTCATTTCTATTGCCTGAAAATCAGTCCAAAAAAAAAAAAAACACACAAGTTTATGATTTAAAAGCATTGTGCATTTAATTTCAGAGTACCAAACTCTTGCCAGTTGTAGAACTACTTTTGTAATTCAAATATACATGAGGTTGTTTTTTAAGTGCAAAAAATAAATCCAAAATACTTTATTCATTGAAAGTGAGGCATGAAGCCAATTACAGATAGGCATATGAGGCAGTTACATATAGTTAGGGATGATGAATGGCATAAAGCAAACTACAATTTGATTCAAAGCAAGGAACTAGTCATATTTATTTTCAAAAAATGTCATTCAGAAAACACGAAATCGTGACCTCTACCTAAGGAACCAAGAAGCATATTACCTGAGCAAGACCTTCTTGGTACACCGAGGATAACAATCCCTAAAAGAATAAAAAATTGTCAGTCATGCATCAAATAACTCTGATTCAAGCAATATGCATCTCATTTGCTGAAGTAGACGGCACATCCTTGTCTAGCCTGTGACCTTTAAACTAATATTGGCCAACTCCGTGCTTGAGATTCAATCTGTAATTGGCCTTGTGCACTAAAATAATTGAGATAAATTTTTATCCTAATTATCACACACACATACACAAACTATACGTGCCAGCTCAACTCTAGAAGTGCATGCATGCAAAAGTGCCTAGCATTTATAATGTAAGTTTCAAGTAGTAGTGAAGCACGAGTTAACTTTAATGGAATTACAAATTTCAATTTTATGGCTTTTCAAATTTACTCATTTTAAGTTCAACAGAAAGTAAACTCATCATTGGAGTGCTTCACCATCTTCCACGCAAATGTTTAGCACTTGATAGAATTTAATAATTATACAAAAAGGTCCTAATATTCTACATGCAAAATGGAAACAAAAAGAGAAAATTTTCAAGTTAATGCCCCTTCACAACATTTAAGTGAATATACTATTAAAGAAAATATAAATTCCGTTAGATTCCAGCACCTTAGCAGTCTACTATTTTCTCCAAGCTCTTAGTATATTAATTAAAACAAATTGTGTTTCCAAAAATCCATAAGACTTTAAAAACAATTTATTGAAGTAAAAGATATACTCACAAGACAAACATAAATCAGGTAATTAAAGTTTTAAACATCAATCAAACTGAAAAATGAAATCTTTTTCTACCATGCTAAATAATTAATCATAATTGGCTATTTACTATCTTTACTAAGCGAATTTGTATTTAGCAAGCATTTTCAAATTTTTTAGAAGTGAGCCTTGCCTAAACCATTTTTTAAGGAACAATCAAAACAATCTGATTTAAAGAGACTTTCACAGATAGGCAATGACACCTATTTGCTTTAAATTTTAATTTATAAAAGAAAACTCTACAAGTTATTCTCCCATATTTTAGTTGTACTTTTTTAGATACAAGCCTATTAAAAGAAAAAAGAAATGTCGGGATGGGCCTACACCATTGAATTTCCTTTAAAATAAATGCAATATACGCTCAGCACAAGACAAATACAATGACTACTGACCAATCCTAACCAGAAAATTGAACCTGAGCTGGTTTTTGTCCCCTAAAATTGATCCTATCATGACTTGGTTTTATCACTCTGACAGATTTCTTAGCTATCAGTCTCAGTAACAATTTAAATTTGAAAAAGTGATACAACAACAACAAAGCCTTAATCCCACTACGTGGG